TGATGACATGTGGCAGTAGGCTGAGAATTTTCACCTTGGAGATTATATGCTGAACATAACGGATGTCCTTGTCATCAAGTTTAAGCACAGCTTGTCTAAACATCCTTTTACCTACTTGTGAACAAAATGCTGTTTAGTGTTTTGGGCCAGTTGTCCTTGAACTTTCTCGATGATACAACATGAAACCTAATTTCTGTGGAACAGAATTGGCCACCTTACTTCTGAAGTGACTTTTGTTAACATATCCTGAGTGTCCCAATGACAACTTAACCTCAGGAAAACTTAACATCAGACAGCTACCCATGTCTGACAGAGAGTGGCACCACGGATACATTTTGGGTCCTCTTATTCTGTATGACTTTTTCCCAATGAATAAATCAGGACTTCTGATTCTGAGTTTTCTCTGTAACAATATATTTTTTTTAATGGACTCAAATCCAAGATAACTTGTTAGAGTCTGTAAACAAGTCAAAATAACACCTGGCATTTTGCCAGGGGAATGTTAGAGTTCGTAAACAAGTCTGGATGGTGCCTGGCAAAATGCCAGAGGGAGTGGTTTGAGAAGTAACAAAAACGAGCCATTAAGTGTGGAGATTCCTTATTGGTTGACTGATGTATCTAGTTTATGTTAATTAGATAAGCTGTGTGGAATGTATAAATACTGCTCCTGTCCTGCAATAAATGGCTTCCACTCCTGCTGTATCAACGTACACAAGTTGTTCGTCACCCCCCGGTTATTTTGCTGCAGCCGGACTGTGGCAATAACTATAAGTCAAATACAACTGTCTAGATAGTTCCAAATATTTGTGGTCCTGGGGATAGAACCCAGGGCCTCATGCCTGCTAGATAAGTACTCTGCCACCGAGTTCCATTCCTAGTCCTTATTTTTATTTTTTTAAAATTTTGAGATAGGGTCTTGCTAAGTTGCCGAGGCTGGCCTTGAACTTGAAATGCTCCTGCCTTATCTCTGAGCATCTGGTATTACATGCTGCACTGCCACACCTGGCTGATAATTCAGAATATTTGAATAGCAAAATTTATATTATTTTTGCCAGGACACTTTAAAGTTTCATAAGATTAGTGAGAATGAACAGAGAAGGTTATTTGAATCAGTTTATTAGGCATTTGGTCTCTTCCACAAGGTACTATCTTTGGGGAAAGGGCCAGGAGCCCAGTTGTCAAGGGGATGGAGTTGCATTTATGAGTCAGACAGGCTTTCATTTTTCCCTGAAGCACAAGTTTTGTGTGGTGGGAATTATGAGGGCTGCCTTGATTGGGATGCATCAAAACATTTTATATGTAGAAAAAGATCTGAGAATTCGTAGGCACAGAGGAGTGTGGGACTGTGAAAGTAAGTGTTAGGAGATGACATTGAGGGCTGGGGCCGGGGATCAGCAGTAGAACACTTGCCTAACACGTGTGAGGCCCTGGGTTCAAACCTCAGCACCACATAAAAATGAATAAACTAAAGCAAAGATATTGTGTACAACTAAAAAGAAATATATATATATTAAAAAGGAGATGATGTTGAAGCATTGGGGAAAGTTGTAGTGGAAATTCAGTGGGAAAAGGTAAGAACAGTGGGCGTGTTTATGTGGAGCTGCATGTAAAGCAGGTGAAACCGGGGAAAGCATGAGCATTTGAACTACAGCCCTTTTCACTTGACTTCAGGCCTCAGCTGTCATGAAGGAAGGACTGACTATCGGTAATGCAGCCAAGCAAGGTTCGATGGGCACTGAGAGAGTGGGCCCAGGGCTTGTTGTTCAGGTCTTATCTTAATTGTTAGCTGTTTTATCCGGGGCTTCTGGGTAAAGACCCATGAGACTTGACAGCAGGGGCTTGAGCGGGTGCTTGTCCCCTGTCCACGGCAGCATTCTTCAAAAGCTGGAGGTGACCCGAACCCACCTGAGTAAGGGTGGACGGAGAGGCAGAATGTGGCCTGTTCATATCGTTGAGTGTTTCTCCACCTCACAGAGGAAGGCAGTTCTGATTCATGATGCACATGGATGAGACTTAAGGACTTCAAGCTAAGTGAAATGACAGTCACAGAAGGACAGATACTGTGGTTCCCCTTATGCCAGGTCTGTAGTCAAAACCAGGGACAGAAAGACTGATGGTTGCCAGTATCCAAGGAGGGAAAAATGGGGAGATGCTGTTTAAAAGAAGATCCCAGTTTTGCAAAATGAGGGGGTTCTGGAGGGGCTGGGGACGTAGTGCAGTGATAGAGTGCTGCCTGGCACGCACAGGCCCTGGGTTCCCCCAGCAGCCCCCACCCCACACAAGGTGAGATGGTGATGGTGTGTACACTATTAGGGATGTATTTATTACCACTGACATGTACAATTAAAAATGGTTAAGATGTTTTTTTTTTTTTCTTGGTGGGATTGAGCATTGAACCCAGGGGTGCTTTAACACTGAGCCACACCTCCAGCCCTTTTTATCTATTGAAACAGGGCCTCTTTAGGTTGCAAAGGCTGGCCTTAAACTTATGATTCTCCTGCCTCAGCCTCCCAAGTTGCTGGGATTACAGTTGTATGCCACCATGCCTGGCAATAATGAAACTAATTCTAAAAACAAAATCAAAAGGATTCTAATCACCATTGTTCTCTAAGCAGGGTGATAGAATTCATTTTATGGTGAACAAGCATTGCTTGCTAAATTGCTGTTTTGCTCACAGAGACCAGTAGGGTCTAATCTGGACCCCTGGGCCTCAGTGAAAGGCGGAGATTCTGCCTTCCCAGGTCCTCTGTGGTACACGAGGACATTCTTCTTGGGTCTGTGTTGCTTGGTTGAGCAGAGCCTTTTAAGGAGTTTGTGGACATGCAAGAGGAGGAAGGGAGCTGAGCTGAGGGTAGGCACCCTGCGTTGGAGTGCCTTGTGTAGTTAAGGAGGAGTCAGTTCAGTGATAGGTGGAGCTACGCTCGCCTTTGATCACCACCACCCAGATGCCTGGCAAGAACAGCTTAGAGGAAGAGTTTATTTTGGCTTATGGTTCAGAACACTTAGGTCCTATGGTCAGGGCCTCCTCTGCCCTTGGCCTGAGGAGAGGCAGAGCACTAGGTGGGAGGGTGGAGGCAGAGGACAGCTGCTGGGCTTTTGACCAGCCAGGTGGAGTTCCCAAGGGCAGGCCCCCAGCGCTCTTCTCTTCTAATCATGCCCCACCTGCCTGCAGTCACCACCCAATGAGTCCAGATCACTAATCCATCAACTGGATTAATCCACTGATGAGGTTACAGGTCTTAGTCCAGTCCTTCCACTTGCTGTATATCCCAGCACATGGGCTTCTGGGGAACGTTCCTAGATGTAGACCGTAACAGAATAAGCCAATAATCAGTCAGAAAGCAAACTAGCAGCTGGGCACGATGGCACATACCTGTAATTCAAGCGGCACAGGAGGCTAAGGCAGGAGGATCGCAAGTTCAAAGCCAGCCTGAGCAATTTAGTGAGGCACTAGGCCTCAGTGAGACCCTGTCTCTAAATAAAATATAAAAAAAGGGCTAGAGATGTGACTCAGTCGTTAAGCACCCCTGGGTTCAATCCCCAGTAAAACCCCCCCCGCCCAAAAAAAAAATTAATTTGTAGGTAGTAAAATTGAGTGGAACCAACCTCCAAGCTTGGAGCTCCGTGTGAATACCGTGCATCAAGCACGGTGGTCTCTGCCCTGGCAGTGGGAGTGTTACGAGTCGCTCTTCCTACTGAAACGTTTGTTTTAAAGTCCATCTTAGTGAAGCTACATTATGTGGCAATCAAACAAGAATTCTAGCTGCTTCTGCAACACGGTGCTCCCGAGTGATACAAAAGTGATACAAAAGAATAATATTGTATTGCTAAAAATGTTGGTGTTCTTAGAAATAGCTATGTGTGAAGTAATGTCAAATTCAGCAGAGTAGACGGTATGGGGAGGGGTCCAGCTTTTTTCCTACCATGTGCCTTTTTTCATGTGGCTCTGAAGTTAATACCACTTCATAAAACATTCATGCCACTTTAAGAAAACTGGACCAAAAAAACCAAAGGCCGAATGTTTTCTCTGATGTGTGTGGATGCTGATCCATAATGGGGATGGGGGTGGGCATGGGGAGCAATGGAGGAACTTTAGATAGAGCAAAGGGGAGGAAGGGGAAGGGAGGGGCACAGGTAGGAAAGACGGTGGAACGAGATGGACATCATTACCCTAGGTACACGTATGAAGACACTAATGGTGAGACTCTGCTTCGTATATCACCAGAGACATGAAAAATTGTGCTGTGTATGTGTACTATGAATTGAAATGCATTCTGCTGTCATAATTAAGTAAATCTAAAATTAAAAAAAGAAAAAAACTGGACCAAGAAAACTTGACCTCATAAATTGGTCTATTCCGCAGTGGCTTGACGTGACCAGATCAGGACCAATACTTGGTGATACTCTTTAGATGAATGCTTGCTTTTTGAAGGTCAGATATAGCATGTCAGACTTTAGGGGACATGATTAAAGCAGTGCAGGCAGGACCCTCTATAACAGCTCAAGAAGAGCCCGAGGCACAGTGCCCGTGACAGGGTCCCCTCTATGAGCTGGGTCCGGGCAGCTCCTGGTGTCAGGTTGTCCATAGTGGTGCCAGCACCCCTCCACCCTATGCAGAACTTCACCTCCCAGAGTGAACCTGTGCTCCTACTGTGTTTTGTAGGTTTTCACAACAGGCGTGTTCCTAGTTATTAAGTGTTCTTCCACAACTAAATGGAATTACATTACATTACCTGTTTTTTTTCAAAAATGGATGTCTTTATTTAGTTGTGTTTCTATGTCTGCTCTGTGCAAGGCACTGCTGACGCAGCAGGAACAGCACTGGAGCACATGCCTTGCTCCAGCTAGCCAACCATGAGAGCCGGGGCCGTCAGTCCCATCAGCCTTGGTACAAAGGCCTCGGAAAAAGTGTGCGATGTGGTCGGGGAAAGTCTCGGACTGTGACAGTTCTATTCGTTTAGTCTTCCCTTAGTGATTTTTTTTTTTTTTCTTTTTTTCAGGACTGCAGGAATATGTGGAAGCTGTCTCTTTTCAACACTTCATCAAAACACGGTCATTAATCAGTATGGATGAAATTAATAAAGAGTTGGTATTTACAACAGAAGACAGTGGGAAAGAAAATAAGACTGTGAGAACTTAAAATATTTCTCATTTGTATAGTATACATAATGGCTTAATGGTTGTAGGGGATGGACTGGCTCCATGTGGAGAAGATTGAGATGGGTATGATCCGTGTGATTTTAGATTCTCACCCAGGGAAATAGAGCTTTTAAATGTTCTAGTTAGGGATAGAAGAGGAACAGCTTGGGGTACATTGGGAAAAGAAACACTCTTCTGCCTAAAGCAAGCACTGTCATTAGTTCTTTTATTAACCTTGTGAGATAAGAATTATAACCCCATTTTACAGAGAAGGAATTAGGCTTTTAAAGAATAGCTAACAAGAAATCACACAACAAGTAAGGCATGGTGGCTTGCTTCTGTGATCCCATCAGGAAGATTGCAAGTTCAAAGCCAGCCTCAGCAACTTAGTAAGACCCTGTCCAAAATTAAAAAATAAATAAATAAAACAAAAGGCCTGGGGTGTAGCTCAGTGGTTATGCCCTGGGTTTAATCCCCAGGACAAAAAAAAAAAAAAAAAAAAAGCCACACAGCCAAGTGGCAGCACTGATATTTGAAACCAGGCATTTTGCATCCTAGCCTCTGTCTCGTCTCTGTGCCAGAATTTTTCAAAGTGGGCTGCAGTGGTCCCTTGTGCTAGGTGCTGCCTCAGAGCCTTGTTGGAGAGGCTTTGACCTCAAGCTTTGTAGTGAGGCCACATACATACTCCATACCCAAGGGATCCAGTGAAGTCATCGTTGCATAGTGAGAGCTCTGAATCACTTAGATCATGATGCTTGTGTCTGAATTTATGTAGCTCTTGTGAATTGACTTTTTGCAGGTAGATTTTTTTTTTAAATATTTTGTTTTAGTTGTAGTTGGACACAATACCTTTATTTTATTTTTATGAGGTGCTAAGGATTGAACCCAGCGCCCCGCACGTACTAGGCAGGCGCTTTGCTGCTGAGCTACAACCCCAGTCCCTGCAGGTAGATTTTTTTTTTTTCTAGAGAGAGAGAGAGAGTGAGAGAGAGAGAATTTTAATATTTATTTTTTAGTTACCGGCAGACACAACATCTTTGTTTGTATGTGGTGCTGAGGATCGAACCCGGGCCGCACGCATGCCAGGCGAGTGTGCTACCGCTTGAGCCACATCCCCAGCCCCCTTGCAGGTAGATTTTTTTTTAAACAAGCACTCTTTCTTTTTTCTTTCTGGATTTTAAGATAGAACACTGAGGCAACAGGGTGGGCCCTTTTTTCTTTTTGTTTGTTTTGGTTATACCTGACAGTAGAATGTATTTTGACATATTGTATATACATGAGTGCAACTTCCTGTTCTTCTAGTTATACTTGATGTGGAATTACACTGGTCATGTATTCATATATGAACATAGGAAAGTTATGTCCAACTCATTCTAGTCTCTCTCCTATTCCTATCCCACTCCCTTCCCTTCATTCCCCTTTATCTAATCCAAAATACTTCTATTCTATGAGTCAACATCCACATGTCAGAGAGAACATTTAGCCTTGGCTTTTGGGATTGGCTTATTTTACTTAGCATGATACTCTCCATTTCCATCCATGTACCAGCAAATGCCATAATTTTATTCTTTAAGGCTGAGTAATATTCCATTGTGCATACCACATTTTCTATATCTATTCATCTGTTGAAAGGCACCTAGGTTGGTTCCATAGCTTGGCTATTGTGAATTGAGCTGCTATAAACATTGACGTGGCTGCCTTACTGTAGTATGCTGATTTTAAGTCCTTTGGGTATGAACTGAGGAGTCGGATAACAGGGTCAAATGGTGGTTCTATTCCAGGTTTTCTGAGTAATCTCCATACTGCTTTCCGGAGTAGTTGCATCAATTTGCAATTCCACAGGGAGGGCCATTTTGAATGATGTACCTTTTGATGTAAAATTGTGACATAAACTTCTGATAAAATTTGTTTCCCTTTTTTTGCCTTTTCCCCCACCTTTTATTACTTTTAGCACCAGAGAGTCAGGATAGGCAGGTGGGAGGTGGAAGGAGCTGCAGTAGTAGACTTCCTGTAGATCAGCTGGAAGCTAGTCTGACACAGGGGCCAATGTGGCATGACTGCCGGGCCTTGAGGACGCCACGGGCTGCTCTGCGCTGCGCTGCAGTGTGTGACACCGACTGAGGAGCTCCGCTCCGACCAGTGAGGCTCCTGCCTGCTGGCAAAGGGTGGGTGAGCTGCCGTGAGAAACAAGCGACCCGCTTGACCCTGCTTCTTAGTGCCACCCGGGATTGCCACAGCCCCCTTCCTGCTCCCTCCTCCCCAGACAGGAGTGTCCAGGGAAGCAGACAGACTGGGAGCAGAGTGCCTGCCGTGCCACTGGCACCAGGTTGTTTCAGGGTGTGGTGCTTGTCGTCACATGCACTGTCAGGTTGCCAAGCCACGTTCCTAAATGGCATTTCCTTTTAATGTTGAGGGTATTTGGTGCTGGGATTTGATAGGGTAGGTATTGTGCTCTAGTTTGCCTCTTGAGGATATTGTCAAACTGACTTTATTTAAAAATTACAAAGTTTCGAGCATACAGAACAGTACAGGGTAAAAACAAAGTGAGGGCCCTGTGCCCACAAGCAGGACTCAGTGGTTGTTAGCATTGTGACATATTTGCATTTTCTAAATGTTTTTAATTAAGCCATTATAAAGCAAATTAGCAATATCATGGTATTTCACCCTAAATACTATAGTATCCATCTTGAAAAAATTATACTTTAAATTTCTTTTCTTTACTAATAATTTTCAGGAAGATATTGCTGCCAATTTGTTGAAGTTTGTTAATTTTTAAATCATGCTTCTTTTTCTAAAATCAACTTATTTATAACCTCCATATCATGGTAGAAACAAAGAACTAGCATTTTCCTTAAGTTTATTTTATGAATGGCTTGTGAAATAAATGTACTCCTCTCCACCCTCCACCCCCAGCCTGCTTTTCTAAAAGGTGCCAGTCTCTGATAGGAACATGGCAGGTACTCATGATGTGATTTTAAAGCATCGGAATGATTGGGAAGCCAGCTCTGGATACATACCATTTCTGTTACCGCCCCAGCCCTCTCACCTCTGCTGATTCTTGGGCCACGTTCCTTTGCTATGTGATAAGGAAGGGGACAGATGGTCTCTGAGGAGCAGCGTTGGGATTCCTGCACTGGCTGCACAGCAGCCACATTGATCGTGATGAAAGCAGGTTGGGCTCTGCCGTGTCCTTAGTCACTTCTCAGAGACTCTTCATCACCTCTAAGAAAAGATTCCTTGATGTGACATTGAATCCCATCTGTCTTCTGGCCTCAGCCTGCCCTACTCCTTACCTTAAGTTTTCCTCAAAAGAAATAGTGCACTAGTTCATCAGGTTATATAAGCACAGTTCTTACCTGCCCACCTGTGCGGTTCCTGCTTCCTACAGTCTCGGCTGTAGTTGCACCGTCACCTAGCCAGGGCTCATACAGTTTATAGTCTGACCTCACCACTACAAAGGTGATCTGGAAGAGAGAGAATGATGTGGAGAGAGGGTTTGCACGTGGATGCTTGCTGCCAGCACTGAGTGTGTACTTGTGTTGGAGCATTGTGTTGAGGATGGGGTCAGTGCTGTCTCATTTAATCCATAAAATAAATCTCTGAGAGGGTCCTGTTATCCATATTACAGATGAGGAGACTGAGGTTTTAGATGAGATAATTTGCCAAGGGCATACACCGAATGCAGAAAGGTGCTGGAAGAGGTGGGAGGAGATGCCGCGAGATCCTTGGAAGTGTTAACCTCAAAGCAAGAGGGACCACTGGCCTGGAGGAGGGAGGGCGAAGCATCTGGGGGTGCAGTGGGGCTCTGTTGGCAGGAGAGGTGGTGCCAGGGAGTAGGCAGCTGTACTGATACCAAGAGGCTTGGGGTAGAGGGGGTTGCTCAGGGGAGTTAAAGGTTTGAGGAGTATTTGAGGAGGCTGCAGAGGGAACCACCAAGGAGCGCTGAAAGAACTAGTGAGTAATTCCTAGCGGAACACATTCCACGTGGGTGTGATCGCTGCACTCGTCCTCCCCAGTAAAGGGTCCATGGGTAGGTTTTAGTATTGATTCCAGGTTCTGATTTCATAGGCCGAGTGCAGGAAGGGCACAGGAGTGTGAGAGAGCCGGGGTGCTGCAGCGAGAGGCCCCCAGTCATGGTGGTTGATTTTGAGTGGAGAGGGGCCGACTGGCTTGGGAAGGCTGTGTAATTGTCGGTTGAATGGCGATTTTTGTGCTGCCAGATCATGAGGCCATGTTGAAGAACACTTTCCTCTGTCTAGTCAAGCTGGAGGCAGTTGGTCTTCCTGGGGCAGTATGGATCTCAGCACCCTGGGCCTCTGGTCACTCTTTCCCAGGCCACGGGCGGGTTCCTCTTCCCTAGCACAGGTGCTGCGTTCCACTTGGATACAGTGGACTGGGGCGGCTGGGTTCCCGCATATGCGCTCTCCAGTGTGCTTTCTTTGTGTGCATTGCTTTCTGTTTTTTGTTTTCTAGCCCTCCTTGGATGCACAAGATAAGCATCTTGTCACTTGGAAACTGAAAGTCACACCTGTGGATTACCTTCTGGGAGTGGCCGATCTAACTGGAGAATTGATGCGGATGTGTATTAACAGTGTGGGGAATGGGGACATCGATACCCCCTTTGAAGTGAGCCAGTTTTTGCGCCAGGTGTACGATGGGTTCTCCTTCATTGGCAACACTGGGCCTTATGAGGTCTCCAAGAAGCTGTACACCCTGAAACAGAGTCTAGCCAAAGTGGAGAACGCTTGTTACGCCCTGAAGGTCCGGGGCTCTGAGATCCCAAAGCACATGCTGGCAGACGTGTTCTCGGTGAAGACAGAAATGCCTGATCAAGAGGAGGGCATCTCCTAGAGCAGCGTCCCTGGCTGATCCCAAGAGACCAGTTTGTAAGACTGTCACTTAGCATTTCACTGGACTTTGTTGTGGCATTGGCCTTGAAGTGTTTTCAGTTGTTTGTCTTCTCAGTTGTACGCACACTGTACATACAGTTTTCAGCTGAGGCCCTCTTATCATTTGTGCAAGTGTGGGCACAAGCGTTTGCATGTGTGCCTGTTTGAGATCTCTGCTGGCTGACCTTCACCATTTATCTGTGCTAGGTAAATGTGCTTTGTATTGCTTTTTCTGCGGTACCCCTTTTAATGTACTTGGTGTGAATGTTGTGGTGATCATTTTTAGTGGCAGCCATTGTAAGTTGGTGGTTTTGTTTTAGATAGAAAAGATTTCTTAGTTGCACTTCTGGACCTGAACTTCCACACCTCCAGAACTGGCTCCATTCATGGAGCAAGGAGTAAAAACTAATAACCTGTCAACATTTTAAAATTATAAGTTTTGAGGTATTTTTGTGAGAATTTGTATAAAGTTCTGGCTAATTTTAGGCCGTTTTGAGTTTATAGCCTTCCAGAAAAAAATGGACAAATGCCCAGATATTAATGTCTTCACTGTTTTGTTTTCTGCAGTGCTGGGGATGGACCCAGGGTTGTCGTGACAGGCCAGCGCTCCACCACTGAGCTACATCTCCAGCCCCTCCTCATTTTTTTTTCCTTTTGTTGTAGAAGATATGGTGGGGAATTGGAGCTAATATTTTAATGTTTTCAGCGGTTAAGCTGAATTATGTATGTGTATGTAACTAACAAGCTTTTAGTGAGTATTTAGCGGGATTTTCCCCCTTGCCAATATTAGAGGCATGTTTGAAGACTTTCCTGTTCTAGCATCTATTAGAAATTACATTTAGGTAATTGCAGTGAAATATTGAAACACTCAAGTTGATCCCAACTTTTAGAGTTGTCTGTGGCATTGGTAAAGTTGCCAAAGAAGATGTGTGGTGCACAGTTGGGCAGCTGAGAATGGCGGTGTGGTCTCCGATGCTCCTCAGAGGTGGAACTGCCCTGAGTGAAGTGACTGGAGCGCTGGCTTAAGATCTAGTTACTGGGTTTTGTTTTGGGAAAGGTCATCTCCGCTGGTAAGAGCTAATCCTTGACAGTGTCCCTTTTCGAACAGTGTCACCTAAGTGGATGGAGGTCGAGGGACCTGGTGCAGAGGCTGCTACAAGGTGGGTGGTCCTGCGCCAGGGCACCGTTGTATGGAATCAGCTCCTCTGCACACTCTTGTTACTTCTGCCATTTGAATTTAAATAAAAATAAAATGGTAATGGATTGATGAATGTTTTACAGATGTTTAAAATAAGTCTTTTGAATAAAATAAAGAAATTAAGCTCACTGCTTTGATCCTATTGAGAAATACTTGAAGTTTAGGACTTCTGTTGAAACAGGAATCCTGATCAGACTAGCTGAATATGGCGGGTTGTCATTTCTAAAGTCAGTTCAGAGGTGGGGAGGTGTCCAGGTGGTTCACTCGGAAGCTCAGCGACACTCCCCTCAGGTTGTGTCCCCCTTGATGGTGGTGTAGAGACACCATGGAGATGCTGGCCCGGGGCTGACTTCCACAGCTCCCACAAAGGAGGCCGTCCCTTCTCGTCACATTGATCCACGCCAGCTAAACAGCTAAACCACTCCTGTGAACTGGTTCCTGGAGAGGGGAATGGAATGACCTTCGAAGGTGAGGGACTGGCTCAGACTGTCAGAAAGGAAGTGGCTTCTGGGTGGGTGGCCAGAGCGACTCTTGCAAGTGGATAAGAGCCCTTGCTGCTGCTGTGTCCCTGGGGTCCCTGATGTGGAAAAGACTGAAGTTGAGCCATTACTTCAAATCATATCCAAAATTTAACTTAGGATGAAAAACTAAAATATAAGAGCCCAAACTACACAGTTAAGAAGGAACAAGTGCACATTTTGTAGTGTTTTGATAAGGTAGTGTTGAGAGCCACAGCCAAGGGGCCCCAGCAAACTTCCAGCTGCCGGCTGATGATTGGCTCACAGCGGCCCCAGCAACATCTAGCTGATTGGCTCCTCGGCCCCAGCAACATCTAGCTGATTGGCTCCTCTGCGGTGATGCTCATTGGGCTGTTTCCCTGCCCTTTCAGACCACGGAGCTGCTCATTGGGGGACTTTTTTTGGCTCCGCCCACATGACCCAGCCAATCGGCCTCAAGAGCAGGAGGATTGTGGGAGGTGGAGAGAAGCTTGTGGGGGAGAGAGAGGCTTGTGGAAAGCCGGTGGTGGCAGTTGAGGCTCTGAGGGTTTTTCCTGAGAGGCTGTTTTGTTTGGCGTGTGTGGTTCTAAAAATAAAGTTAGTTTCTTTTGACAAGTGGCTCCTGATTGTGCCCAGCCAGACTGCGGCATTGGTGGTTTCTTAGTGTACCCGACATACATAAGCATCCAATTAGAAAAATAAGTAGACCGCCACCAAAGTAAAAAAACTTGTGTGACCGAAGGACACTTGAGAAAGTGCAAAGACATCCCAAATGCGAGAAAGTATCTACAGATCAGAGATCTGATCAGGGCCTCGAATCCAGAATACAATAGGTCTTACAACCCAGCAAAGACAAAGGAAAGACGAAGACCACCAGTTCAGAACTGGCAAAGGATTGGCAAAGACAGCTTGAAAGATGACAGATAGCCAAAGGTCCATGAAAAAGGTTCAGTTTTGACATGGGTCAAGTTGTGAGCTGCCATCTCACCCTCATAAGGACAGCTACAGAACGTGGAGAGGTTGGAGCTACGGCGTCGGCAGGCATGTAAACGCAGCCACTTTGGAAGTGGGACAGTTCCTCAGAAAACTGAGCAGATCCCCGCGTGACCCACAATTCCACTTCTAGTAGAATTGAATCTCAAAGAGCGTTTTACAAATGTCCACAGGGGCAGGAACTTGCTATAGTGTTTCGGGAAGTGTGAACTAGTACTAGTGGGTGGGCAGGAAGACTGCCCCCAGGCAAGTGTGGAGTTTGTTGTTGGGGTGATGGAAGTGTCATTGGCCACAGGGATGGCCACAGCCTGGGAACAGGGAAACCAAGTTGCTGCTCACTTTCCACGAGTGAAATTTATGAGTTTATCTCAAAATGGTATCTTTTTACAAAGATTGGTTTGCTCCTTGAAATTTTGCTAGAAACTTGTAAAACTGTTTGGGCCTGGTGTCTTGCTTGTGAGAGAGGAGATTTCTTTCTTTTCTAAACCCATTTCTTCAATTCCTTGAATGGCAAAGGACTGCAAACTTCTCATCGCTTCCTGATGGAAGTGTGGTAAGTTTGGCTCTTCCCAGGGTGAGTCCATTTTCTCCCTGGTTTCTGATTTGTTGTCACACATTGGTTGTGTTCTTTTACCATGTTTATTTCCTGACTACATCTGTAGCCATAGCATTATTTTTGTTATCCCTCAATATACTTGGTATGTGTGAGGTTCTGGGGATTGAACCTAGGGTTTTGTGCATGCGAGGCAAGCACTGTGCCAACTGAGCTATGTCCTCAGTCCCTCAATACACTTTCTAAAGTTGGTTTTGTGAGATGTTTCTCCTTTATTTTGGTCTTTTCAAAGAACTAACTTTTGCCATGTTTATTTTTTAATAGTCTGTGTTTCCCAGTTTGTTCTCATATTCTTATTTTTATCTCCTTCCACTTTCTTTGGGTTTATTTTCTATTTTAAAAATAGTTTTTTATGTTTGTAATTAGTCTTTTTCAGACTTTCTCACTGGTTTTTTTTTTTTTTTGGTATTGTTATATATTAGGTGTCCCCTAAAAGCTCATGTGTGAGATAGTGCATGAGGGTTTAGAGGAGAAATGATTGGGTTGTGAGAGCCTTATAACCTGATCAGTGCACGAATCCCCTGATGGGGATTAATTAGGTGGTGATGAAGGCTGGTAGGGTGTGGCTGGAGGAGGTGGGTCCCTGGGGTGTGCCTTTGGAATATAAATTATGTCCTTGTTGAGCACAGCTCTTTCTGCTTCCTGGAAATGTCCTGAGCTGCTTTGCTTCACCACACTTTTCCACCATGATGTTCTGCCTTATCTTGGGCTCTGAGGAATGGAGCTGGCTCTGTGGACTGACACCTCTGAAACTATAAGCCCTCAAATAAACTTTCCTTCTTTAATTATTCTTTTCAGGTCTTTCAGTCACAGCAGCAGAAAAGCTGACTAAAACAAGTACCAGACTGGGGATTGAATCCAGGGCCTCATGCATACTGGGCAAGCATTCTACCACTGAGCTACGCCCTCGGCCCTTTTTCTCATTTTAAGACAGGGTCTTGCTAAGTTCCCGAGGCTGGCCCTGGAACTTGTGATCCTGCTGCCTCAGCTCCTGAGTTGCTGGGATCACAGATGTGGCCACCATGGTCTTGAACACTAGTTTCAGGATTAATTTTGATAAGGGCTTTTAGAGTGGTTATGAATAAGACGTGGTCTCAAGCAATCTGCTTTCACTGTGGGTTGGATTGATCTACTTTGAGCTCTTAATTTTAGATGACTAAGGACTTTCTTTTTTTTTGTAGTTGTAGATGGACAACATGCCTTTATTTTATTTGCATATGTTTATAATGTGCTGAGGATTGAATCCAGTGCCTCGCACGTGCTAGGCAAGTGCTCTGCCACTGAGCTACAGCCCCGGCCTGACTTTATTGGTTTTGCTCCAGAATTAGGTTCTTGGCTGGCCTTCCAGGCTGACATTGTGTTCCTGCCTGATCTAGCTATGAATTCTGTTTTCTGCTGGTATCTTCTTTGTCTTGCTCCTTTTTTTTTTTTTTTATGTTTTGTTAACTTTTATTCAACAAAAATAACAATATATAAAGAACTGTATCAGCAGTTCTATAAGTTGAAAAGATGAGTAAAACTCTTGACCAGACTCAGAGGAGTTTACAGTCTAATATCTGTGAGAGATGGACATATGCTCATGGCTTAAGATGGCCAGATCAGTTCCATTGGGTGAATAAAATAAGGAACTGTGGAGCAAGTAGAGTTCAAACTGAGACTTGTAGAATGGGCTCAGTTTGTCAAATGAAGACACTAGTGGGAGGTTTTCTATGTGGAAGAGGTGACTTGAGTATAAATACACTTTGTCTCATGATAATCTTTCCAAAAGTCTGTTCAGAAAGATACTATTGACTTCTTGTAGGAGTCCGTAATTTTGAATGAACATTGAATTCTTGTAGAAGTCTGTTAATTTTAAACGAACACTCTGATTCTTTTATCGAGTACTCAGTTTGTTGTGTCCAGAATTCAGGAATGTTTGGCATCTGCTGCAGCCCAGAGTAAACTCTGTTGTTGTCACCCTGGGGCTTGCTGGCTTCTCGGGAGCAGTATGCACATCTGTTGATTTCTGGTCTGCAGTGGCTCCCGCGCAGTAGATGAGATCTGGTTCATATGGTTGGTGAGGTCCAGGTAGGTCAGTGTACTCTCAGTGGGGTTACAGATAAGACCATTAAACTGAGACCCAGATGTCTGTCTGCCAAGCTCTTTGCAGTTGATAGATAGCCTGTTCCATATGATATGATATCACATTTGCAGCCCATAATCTTTTTTTTTTCTTTTAACTGTAAGACTTACAAAGTTTTTACATGACTTGTACATTACATTCCAACCCCCCAGTTCACAATAGCATTACCTTTGTCTAAAAGTGCATTTGTAGAAATTCACTTGATTCTCACAACCTTGAGGAAGGCAGGATCTGGTAATATCTCTCCCAAACACACAGCTTTTTATCCTCCCTTTTAATAAGTAGCGTAGCTAAGATCTGTAGAGGATAAGCACCTTGCCCACTGTTGTGTCCCATGTGTGAGATGTGGACTTGGGGTTGGGAGCCACGGCTAATGGAGCAGAGACCGTGGCTGCTCTTGTCAGCACAGTCCTGGCTCTGCCGACCTTGGGCAGGTGTGCCTTAATCATGGCGTATGCTTTCCGAGCCTCATTTTTTCTCATCTGTTGAGGAGTATTTGCCCTTCTCAAGTGTTTTCATGACCTGCCTTATCTATGTGACGTGCATTACAGGCATGAGGAACCCAGGAGTGTAACTGATTGAATGGACTGTCTACAATAACATATCATGTATATTACATGCAACTATATTTTGCACATGATTTAAAGAGATTCATTGACCCTCTGAAATCTATCTGTGGATGTTCTAAAACCAAGTCCCTGAAACCTAGATTAAAAACCCCCATTATTAAGGAGAATCAAAATATCTTTATGCACTATCCTTGTATGAGAAAGTAGTTTCCACGGTGATGTTTTAAAAGGGGCAGAACTCAGCCTTGCCACACACATTGTAGGACTGAATTCTGTACTTCATTGGTGTGTCTCTAGAGAGAATTGTCTGGAACCTAAACAAGGTAAGACTCGC